ATATTTTAATTAGGTATGAACACAGTCGTAATAATACATTTTTTTCACGTTTAATGGTATTGAATGTGTTAGATTTTCAATTATTTCTCGTTATTTTCATTTGTTGCAAATTATAACTTTTTTATAGTAACAAATGAAAACCACCTGAAATCGTACTTCAAAATTTATCCTTTTTTTTTACATTTTTGAGTCTATATGCTCTGAACTGCAGTATCAATAAGTCCTAGCATTACTGATTAATATCGTTATTCGTGAAAATAAAAAACTTGTCAATAGTTAAAAAATAATAACAATAATAAAAAATCGTTTAAATCGGTCGAATTTTTAATTAACACCGACAATGGGGAGCTCAACTATACAACGACAATTATTCTGTGACGTGTTGTATACGTTTAAATGTACTTTAAATGAAAATACTTTGATATAATACTATACTGGTTAGTGATTTCAACACTCCGATTCACTACACTTGTTTCAGTTAACACGAATTAAAACTGCGCCCAATATAAAAAAGACCTTCAAAACCATTTACCTAAGTGATTTACAAAATATATCAATTTGAATATTGTCACCTCATGTCACGTACGCCACCATTGTTTTTAATCACAAAGTAAAATAATGTAAGAGAAAACTCCCCCGCATGTTTAGTGATTGAGACGAAATTCGAGAACAATCGTTTGGAAAATTACTATTTTTTCATTACATTTTTACGGCCAATTTAGAAGCATATTAAAATTCTGTATTTTCTTTTTACTATCAAGATAATACGAATTGTTTAATAATGAAAAATGGAATGACGATATAAGTTATAACCGTACTTCTATGAAGAATAAAATTCGTACACCGACAATATGCTGTGTATTGTTCGAGTGAAAACAGTTCAAATTCTTCTTTTATTTGTCTGTATTATTCTGAAAGTTCATACTATCAACAATAAAACGGCTGAACTATTACTTAGCCGCGCAACTTTGAAGTAAATTTAGGCAGCATGTACATGTAGTTAGGGTTTTTTTTAAAAGGCTTACTTAATTATATAAGTTTTTTTTTAATGGATACTCTAATTAAGAAAAACAATTATTTGTGTAGACTTCATTGTTTTGAGCTGTTTTACCTAACTTTAAAATTACTATAGTTGCGTGGATTATGTATATGTTACATTTGTATGGTATTTTATTCTTGTTTCAGTGTTATATTGAAGCAAGTAAATTTGAAGTAATTGTTAACAAACAAATGACTTACATATGAGGTCGTGTATAATGTGTGTAACTATTTATTTAAAACCACTATTGCTTGCAGGTATATCCCGATGAAAAAAATGAAAGTAGCAAAAGTACGCGCCCGTAATTTAGCCGAACCGAAAATGAAGTACAAGTATCCTAAAAAGTATCCCACAAACACAGAAGATTCTGCGGCCGCGTTGACAAAAAACGATTTACCATGGACTCTGCACCCGTTGCCGCCACCTTTGTCCACGTCCAAGTCCAGCGCAATTGAAGCCGACAAAAATGTGCCATGGGCTTTGCATCCGTTACCGCCACCGGTAAAGACTAGGAACCACCACGAATACTACTGGCACGACCACAAAAACCGACCGATAAAGTACAAAAATAAGTTCAAACCGATCAAGCCGTTCCACTTTATGAACTACAACCCGTTCAACTCGAAGCCCATGGACTATAAGCCAACCGTCGACTTCAAACCTGCCGATTTCCAAAAACTTCGAGAATTAGAGTCATCCGATTTCAAAGGCGAAGACTTTAACACTGGCGACTTCAAGTCGGTCGGTTACAAACCTGAGCTGCACAATGACGACGACGACGACGACCGCCCTAGTGACGCTGATCGCGATCACCACGAAGGCGCCTCGTCTGAGGAAAACATGGCTTCGTCCAAGGGACCCGGATTCGTGGCCACGCACATTACCATCGAACCGTCCGTTGAAATCGCATCGTTCTCGGAAATGGAACTGCAGGGTGACGGTACGACTAACGACGCAGTGTCCCATGGCGATCGCCAGAGTAAACACCGATGCCAGTGCATAGTCAACGGACACCGGCACAAACGGCAAGTGGACAGTGCGGCGCCGACGGTCGTTGTCAACAGTACAGCCGTTGGTCGGCCGGGCGACGCCAGAGTGCAGCGGTCGCACGACTCACACCCGTCGGTAGGTCACGCGACCGAAGTGGTCATTCAAAGATCGCATGACATAACCGATAGGGCGGCAAGCAACGGCAACCCCGTTAATTACGTGCAACAGTTACGCGGCGGCCAGAACACGGAGACGATGTCGGCTGACGGTAAACGGTCGTCGCAGGAACAGTCTGCCGACGGTGGCGAAAAGGAAGCCAACAGCGATAAGTTCGCGATGAACTACGGCCGCGAAATCAACAACTGGGACGAATCCCGGTCGTCGGGTCGAGTGACGGCCGACGATGATAAATTTTCGCTGAGGCTCAACGAAGACAACGAGGGCGGTAGCATTTATGGCGGCCAGACTGACGACAGTTACGGCCGGTCCCGGTTGGGTCCTGACGCCGACAAAGAGAGGCGTTTACACTTAACCAAAAGCACGGTGGACAATACGGGTGGCGGTGTGGCGTTCAGTGTTCAAACGCCGTTTTCCGTGGCCAGTTTCTCGTCCAATGTCGGGCGTCCGGGATCGCGAGAACGCCAATCACGGTTTCGGTATACGAACAGTGGTGCGGCGCCGTCTTCGTCCTCGCCGTTTTCATCCGATTACTCGGAGCCGCTCGATTTCGAACAGTTCGGCTTACAGTCTGCCGTGCTGGGAGAAGACAAACTCTCGGAGCCGGGACAACTGTTCGCTCAATTTTCAAAGGGATTCGATGACAGACCTTCGTCCAATACGGGTCGGCTGATCTCCGATGTTTCGCAAGATTTTCGCGATAAGTCCACTGACTCCGGGCGGCTGACGACGCATTTTTCAAGGGGTTTAGAGAGTGACCGTGATCGATCTAAAACGTTTCGGTATGGCGGCCAGACGTCGGACGGGCCAACGGGCCGGTTAATCGGAAGTCGAGACAGGCCTAACGGTTCGTTCTTGGAGTACTTCCAACCAGTAGTCATCGACTTCGAAAAGTCTTCGGACGATGGTAACAAATTCAAATCGTTTGGAGGGAATAACGACGGTAACGGCAAGCTCCGGTACTTTGGTAAATCCGATTCGCCATTCCCAAGGTTTAAGAAACACGACAATCCGGATCCTCTACGTTTACCCGGTCGCTTACACGAATCTAATGAACACCTGTCCAGAAAAATGGTATTCCACCCTTCCACATTTGACACAGACTAACAAATAATCACATTTGTGTGTATTTATACGATATGTGCTAGGTTGTAATATTATTGATATTTAAATTAAAATTACGTATCTAATAGCTTTTCTTAAATTTATATTCATTTGGTAGGTAATGAGCGAAAATTCTCATTCTATATTATAATGACATTTTAAATAAAATGAATTTATTCGAGTAGAAAGTATATGTATATATTTATGATGTACATTGTACTGCGATAATGCAGCATCGCAATCCGCCATTAAATATTTTATTATTACTATTGTTATTATTTTTTATTTACTTTTATGCGTTTTACGAACCAATTTAACACTTTACTTTTATGAAGTAATTAATAATTATTCTATAATGTCAATCGCCTGCTACAAAATAAGAACTTAAATATACTAACACACGTAGTATAGCTGCTAATTAATATTTTATAGGTATATTATAAATATCTATATTAATTTTAACAAAATAACTGTGCTAAAATATTGAAATGACTTAAAACACCTTTATTTTTTTAAAGTATTTAAGCAATATGTTTTAAATAATATTGCAATTACAATTTTATATTTCAGATGTACAGATTATATCTGGATTGAATGTCATACTGCGTAAGGTTTTATTCTGTATAATGAACAAATGTTTTACATTTGTTTATATTGTACGTTAAAATTTCGGATCTTACTTTTGTGCTCATTGTGAATTACTTAAGTAAGAATTTGGTGCTAACTATAGGATGCTACAGTTTCTCATAAAATTATAAAATAGAGCCTAGAGATGTGAAGAGTAGATATAGCCATGTGGACAAATAGACATATAAAGTAAAGTTTATATTACAGAATTGATGTTTTTTAAGCGAAGTAATTCAATTTTTTTTATATTAAACACTTAGCGGAATAAGAATAAGGACAATTATTAAACATTTTTCAAATAATATTTTATTTAAACGGAAGAAGCCGAATTTTTAATAAACAAGAAAAATTCAGATAAATTATATATATAGCCATTTCAAAAAGTATGATACACATATTATAATGCTACAGTTAATCCAGATATGATTTGTATATTTTTATTCTGTCTATTGTAATAATTGTAATCATTAGAGTGCCATACGGATCATACATAAAAATGCCGTATACACTACTTTCACATTTTTAAATTGAACTGTAAAATCATAAAAGTATCAATTATAGTCTTATAAAATATAAATATCAATAGTGATTTGTTGATTTGGTTTATTGTGTTTTTGTAATTAATTTTAATTACTATAAGATAATTAACGCCAATTACCGAACATTAGTCCCTAAAACAGATAAAAGTTTTAATTTTCAATTCATTTTCGTGACTAATACTTAATTTACATAATTTTGTTTTAACACACTACATTAAAAAAAGACAATTACCATCTCATCAAAATGGAAAATAAATAGATCCTCGACAGTAAGATAATGCTACAAAATTAGATTATTACTATAATGACTACTTCGTTGTTTCCTATAGTTTACAGAGTAATTTATAATATTATTGAGCGTTTATGATGATTATGGTTTTTTACATACACATATTATATTGTATACAAAATATAACACATGACACAGTGCATATGTAATGTACCTCTACATTGACACACCTCGCATAATGTGTTCTACCAATAATAATTATCAGTAAGCCTCCAAAGAAGCGATCTATATTTACCTGCAGCTAGTTGATACACTCCTGTTGTTATAATGACCATGAGAGCTAACAATTTAGCGTAGGTGAATATGTCTTGTACTCGTGTTGCCCATTTAACATCCCAACAGTTGACAAACGTCAATATTACTAAAAATAAAAATAAAAACCTGTTTAATGTAGTCATAATATTAATCAGTATTAAATCGTTTTCACTGAAGCCTAATCCCCGACCTCGAAATTTCTTTAGCGAATCTAGTTATTTTTTTTTTTTTAACAACACCGAAGTTGAAAAACAGTCATTTTGTAGTTTCAGCGTGTCATGTACGTTTGAATAAGATTTAACAATTAAATACAAATAAAGTTTTTTTTATTTATTTCCTTTGCTAAATTCAGAATTAATGTGATATTTTTAGTTTTTTTTTATACCATACAAAAGAAAACGATTAAATTCTGATTTTTACTTCGGAAATTGCTTAAAACTGGAGTCTGGAGGTAACTTAAAAAAACAAATTATAATTCAGAAACTGTTGTTCAAATACGTTAGCAACAATACTTGACTATAATAACATTATATGTGGGAACTTCAGATGACTCAAAGTGGGACTTGGCCTCCTTAGTGCCCCCTTAATTGCTCCACTGTATATAATATTTTTTACCTATTCACATAAAATATTTTACGTACTATTTTATGTATACAAACTAATTCCTAATAAGATATTGAACATATTTTTAAATATGGGCGGGTTTAATGTATTAATTGTAAGACTTTATGCCACCACGTAATGACAAGCGATTCTTGACAATTTTATGAGCATACGGCATACCTAATTACTGTCTTAAAAATTAAGTTACTAAATAAAAACAAGTGTTTTGAGATTTGAAGTAACTATGTTTTTTCCAAAGGAGGCTTAAAATCAAAGTGGAATAAAATCGTAAATCTATTGACTGAATACGGTAAAAGAAATAGTCGAAGGCGATATAATTTTATATGGTTCAACTTAGTACGTAGACTTATAATATACAAGGATTGTATAATAATCAGTAATAATTATTGATTCTGATAATGTTACTTATCTTTGTCTTTAACCATTATGACATGTAACGCTAAATTTGATGCACTTTGGTCTCCGTCATATACTGTACTGTTTGTACTATTATATAATGAATAACGATGATAGATATTAAGTGGGCAATCAATGATGTCCATGTATTGTAATCGAAATTTATATCTAATAAATTATTATATATTTAATAACTAATAAGCTTAATAATAATAATTAATAGTTATTAGTTATTAAAAAATAATGTTTATGTTAAATTGCCTTATCTGAAGAAACTGAAGCCACATAGACAGGATATTAAACATGCAATATGCAGGTTTGATAAGAATAAATTAAAACTAATCGTTTAGCAAAATAAAAAAATTAATGAAATATTAGACGATCGATATGTATTTGAACCAAGTAAAAATTAAGGTTTAATGAAGGTTAAAAATAATTAATAGCGTATATTTTTATTTTTTTTATACGTTGCATTTTGCACTTGCTCTTAATTGGAGGTTTAATTAATGTGAAACCAAAAATAAAATATTTGCTCACGAAGCATCTCTGTCCAAGACCTAAACAGAATATATTATGTCCCTTACAGCACAGAAAACATTTTTAATTATAAAATGTTTTATATTATTCAAATATCATTAAGATCCTTGAAAGTAAGTATGAACAAAAATATTTCACGATTTTTATAAATAACACATTTTTATACTTTGTTGACTGGAATAGAACTATATATACTCCATAAAGATCAAATTAAATGCATACTTTTGTTATTTCATGGACAATAATATTAATGTTTGAATGCAAATAATTGCACTGGTTTTAAGTACACGCATTTTAATATTGGATGTTATGACTTTCAAGTAATTAAATTCTACTTAACCGTAATTTATAACAGTTGTAATTAAATTCAAAATGTTTTTAAAAATATCTCGTACACTACTAAAGTATATATTACAGTTATTAAAGTGTGACAGAGTATAATATAAATGATTAATATAACACAACTATTGCCGGGTTAGTACATTGTTATGTAATAATATCGTGCATTTTAAGTTGCGATAACACTTTTGTAACACAACAATACATTGGCTATATATGTATGTTAGTATGTAACGTTTAACGAATTGCGGTTAACAAGGTGTTTCCTTTCAATACATTTGTGAGATCATAAATACTAATTCGCAGAGTCTATTAACGTGCGTTAAGAGGACGTTATGCGAGTCTTACCGTTTGAAATTCAAACTGTTATATTTCAGAACGCAAATACAATAATATTTTACTAAACATAATTTCAAGCAGTGGTACACGCACGAGTACTACGTACAGCGAATATTCGTAGAACGATTAAAAAAAAAAAAACTGTATAATAGATTAATAAACAAAAACTATTAAGTATTATTTCCGCAACAGCCCGAGAAAATCAGTTTTAACTTTCAAATGCGCGTCACATCTAGTGGGATGTAGTGGGTGAATGTTTCATTGATTTTTTCCCAAGCTTCAATAAAACCGCGGTACCACGTGGAATTCTTCTTTAGACAAACCTCCCACGCGGTTCGAATACATCAAATAGGGATGAGACTTTTTTTCTACAACGGAGACTCTTAAAATAATAGATTCATATTTGAACGTGCACAATAAACGAAAAGGTTTAATAAAATAAAAACCTTATCTGGCTTACAATTACCTAGTAGTCGTCATATTTTTATTTTAGCTTTGATGCGATGGTATTGGTTTCGCGCCACGATAACGGGTTTTCCTGTAGAAAAGATTTTTTTTTATTATTAAAATTACATTCATTAACCCCGCGTTAATGTGCCGGGGCTTATAAAACTGCGCGTGTTGTTTCTTACCAACACACTAACGAAGGGTTAACGGTGATATTTATTGTGTAACAAATCTCATGAATAAATATAGTTACGTACAACGGTCGGTTTGAATAGAATCGTTCAGACAAAAACAAAAAAATAATCCACGTGAGCTATTTAACACAAAACGTTAATACGAAAAAAACTAAAAACCCTCCGTGGGTTTGCGCAATTATCAAATGACAATATATTTTTTTGTAGTATTTTATAGTGCGCGATTGTCAAGAGGTTGTGAAATTTGTAGTAATAATTATGTCGGTACGTAGTACAATATTTTGAATCAGGAACAATTTAGGCGCATTAGAATTTCGACCATGGCCATAATATGACAATGAAAATCTTTATATATATATATATTATATTATCCACGGTAGTATTACCGATTTGCTGACCAAGGAAAAATATAACTGCGCGGCCGGTCAACGCACGTGGGTTCTTAATACATTCCACCATGGGATTCGATTTACATACACTACTGAGTGTGTACTATCACGTGTCTTGTATGAACACATTATTTGACAATTTTAGCATGGAACATGCTTTAGCCTTGTCCCCCAGCCCAAAATCGATACTAAACAGCGACACTAAGTTGCGATACTAAAGTAGCGCGTCTACTTTCAACGAATAATAACATATAAGATGCCATCGACATAATAACGAGTCGACGTCGCATGCAAACATAAATCGCAAGGTGTTTATAGATTGAAAATAATCACTATTCAGGAGCCGGCAGGCTAAAGCATGTTTCATGTTTTAGAATTTTAGCCGTTAACTTTTTTACCTATATTTACGCTTATTGATATTTTATTATTACTACTATGTATTATGAGGTACGGAACGCCCACGGTTTCGGGCGGTCAGCCTGCTGGCCGCGGTTATCCCTGTGGTCAGGGGAGAAAGAATTCTACCGAGGGCCTCACACCTGTCGTAAAAGGCATAGCACACGTAGAGCCCTCTGATAAGTAACCTTCTGACAGGTCACTTCTTCTTGAGACACACCTTCCCCGGCCCGCAATTAGCACCCATTTTTAAGTTAGCCAATGGGTACTTATAGGTTTATCAATTACCTAATCGATTTTAAGACTAGATCAATTCGAAGTCATTACTTTCTGAACGAGTTTCCAAAAATAAAAAAATTACTTAGCTACTTAATAATACATAATGCGATAATTTCGTTAATAAATTAGGTAAAAGTAACTGGTATCGCAAAAAAAAAAATTATACCGGTCAACACAAATTTTGAATCAGTGTAAGGAATTGCATTCCTTAAATTAGTAGTTTAAGGAGATGGACCTATGTATTTTTAGTCTAAAACAATGTTAATAATTAAAACCAAAATAATCAAGTAATTCATAAAAAAAAAATAAGTTTTTCGAGAAAAAGTCCGGCGTCTCGTAGAAGATTCCGATTTCAATAACTTTTTGTTTGGTTTTAAAAAAGAACAATTCTTATTTCTGAACGCGATAACAAGAGTGTGATAACGCCAACCTCCTACACAAAGAGCCAAGCTAATGGTTTATTTTAACTTCGTTAAATTAATATAAGTTTTAATAAATTTTATGATAATAATATAGTTAATATAATATAATTTAATTGATAAAGTTACAAATTGAAGTACAATTAATTTTTTTTTTAACTCAGTTAAGAATAAATTTAATAAATTAACAATACAAATTATAATGTTAAAATACAGTCTATTTACCGTGAAATAGTGATGTATTAAAAGATATATTTCATACGTCGCGTCACCACACAAACTAAGTCTAGATAAACGTTAGGACATTTTCCGATATCTCTTGATAATATGCACAATCAGAATATAGTAACCCAGACTCAAACCAAAAATAAAAAGTGAAATAGTTTATATAATAATATTCATTTTTTCGACTGTAGTTAATCTGTCACAATACTTGCGACAACTCAGTACTTTTATAATAATTTTAATTAGTCGGACATACCTATACAACAAGCAGCTAGCAGTTGCGTAGACTCGGTAGGAGGATCGCAGTCTGTGTACATGGGTTTCAAGACGTACAAACTGAAGGTGAGTGCGACAATAGCCTGAGAACATGGTCTGACGATCATGCATTCGACCCATAGTCGCATGAACGCCAAAAACGGGCCGAACGTCTCCATGATGTACGCGTAATCAGCTCCAGACTTGGATATCATGCATCCTAATTCTGCGTAACAGTAAGCACCAACCTGTGAATGGGCACCATAAAAAAAAAGACATGTCGTTAGAAAAACGTGTTTTATTATATCGTGTATTATTCGTGTGTTACACCCTCACCATTGAGAACAAGCCAGATATGACCCACACAACCAAAGATGCGTTCACAGATCCGGTATTGAGCAATACTCCGGATGGCGATATAAATATTCCGGATCCGATAATGCTGCCCACGATAACGGTAACGCCATTCAATAAACTCATTTTGGCTTTAAGTCGAACTCCGTCGTCTTCGTTCGGACCGGCGGCGGCCGCCTCGGCTTTACGTTTGGCGCCCATTTATTTTATTTTGTGTTTACTAAAGCTGTAAGATTGATTTTTTGCATTAATATACTGTACATTACAATGTATTTTGGATATCGAATCACGTGTACAATAGAATTTGTAATTTCGCAAAATGCTCGAGTGAAAACAGCAAATCATATACATTGGTTTTTTACTGAAGCCTAATGTTCCTAAGTACACTATGGTAAAACACCATAATACAAATTTGCTCATTTAACTCGAATAGTTCACTATATACAATTTATTCGTGACCTTTCCGAAATATTCAATTACTAATACACTATATTATAATCTAAATCCTTAGAAAAATGATTGATTAAATTTTGCATAGTCGTATAAATATTTTCGACATTAAAAAAAAAAAGGCGAATTGCAAATATTTTGTTATTCAAATGATAATATCGTCCCATACAAATTCTCGAGGATATCAAAAATAGTTTTAGTTGACCCTTTGTTTGTATAATGAATAATGAACAAAACAATGCATGTAAGTTATAATATTACTTTTAGTATAAGTGATATAACATTTATTGATGTTAAATTATATAATTCTATTATTTAACCATTAACCATATTTTGAATTAGTACACAAATAGTTCAATTCAAAATAAAAAAAAACAAGATAATTTTTTTAACTTGACTTATTAATTTGTAATCCGATCAAACCATAATTATTTACCCTTATAATAATTATATACATATTATAAAATTGAAAAAAGGCATGACACTTTGCGCTTGTTTGTATTACTGAAGTAATGTGTAACGAATATATTACATTATTAAAAAAAAAAAAATATATTTAAATCGGTTTAACCAAATATTAAATTCAAATTAATGCGATACATGTATAAATCGAACGCTAACCGTCAAGATTTAATATATTTTTTTTTTTTAAATCAACAATAACACTTACGAGATCCATTAGTAAGGTTTATAACAATCTAGACACGACAATTTGGACGTCGAGTCGGGGGCTAGGTTGAATTTGCTATAAGTCCTCACGGTTGTTGTTGTGCAAACGATAACTAACTATGGTGATTATTCGAATTATTTTAAATTGTAATTTCTTTTGTTCGTCGTTTTGATGTGATGGTTATAAATCGCGTGCGCTGGTGAATATAGTAGAAAACGTTGATTTTTCGTTTGGGCGCCGTCCAGTCTGCCGCTCAACGGTTCGGTTACTGAGTAACGCGGACCACTCCGGCAGTCCACTTTTCTCGGTTTTCCTCGACGCCACCGCTGCCGCGCCACGACAACGCCTATGTCATGGATTGCCAGGATACTGCCAATTCGCAGGCGCGCGCGCGATCCCTTTGAACGACCCGCAGTCGTCGGCGGTAGCGATAGTGGTGGCGGCGGCGGCGGCGGCGGCTGCGTTTACATTGAATTCGGCGTGGGGCGTCGGCGTTGGGTCGGATGAAACGCATCGGACAGATAACTTTTGTGATCTATGGTGCGTCTGGTGCGTCGCGAGTGCAACATATTATAAACGAGAGAGTGTTGTTATAGAACTGCAGTCTCTCTTTCTGCGTCGAGCAAACCAAACCTAACCTAGTCGCATGCAAATATTGTATTACATCTGTGTAGATATTTAAATTATTGTCTATGACCGCTAATTTAATCAATTAAAGGAGTAAATGGGAATTGTTTTTTTAACGGGGTTTGAAAAAACGGTCTGCCCGCTCCGGCCGTATTCAAACAGTGATAAAATCGTAACTTCAATAACAAACATTACACAGAGTGTGTACACGTGGATTTACTTATTTACACATAAACGCGCGCACACTTCAGTTTCCGTCAAGTTTGAAACTATAAGGGACCAAATTTAAATTTTTTTACTTAAAACTTGTCACCTAAAATGTCAATAAAAATTCTAAAATTAAGTCTTAAGTGTAATTAAATCTCATAGTATTTAACGTACTATCATAGTTATATTTATATTGTCTATAACAAGTGTATGATTGGTCGGCAAGTTTTACAAAATTATTAACCTACACTTACATGCTGTACGAATTATTAAATGGGACCTTTGTTAAAAATTTTCAACCACAATGTACAAAAGTTAAGCCATTTAAATGTTTGTGTTACCCAAGAATTTGTGTAAAATTAGTGATCGACCACTTATTATTTTAAGGACATATGCTTATACGAATAAATACAATAATTTTACATAGCACAGGAGAAAACCTCGATTTTACATCTCCTATGATTAATTGTGAAAACTAAACCCCAAAATGCGAGGTAACAATAATTAAGTAGTAGTAGTTGTAGTAAAAAAGGCCAGTACAGTGGAGTCGGGACATAGTGGGGAAGGAGAGGTCACAGGTCTACAGATTTTATTATAACTGAAAGTGATAAAATCACTTTTAAATAAACGCTTCGATGAGAATCTGTGGATAGTATGTTCAAACCAGTTATAGTTCCATTCAGCGGCTTAGAAGATATCGTGGGACCAGCAATAATGTACTTAAAATTTAATATTTAGTCTTGTGCAGGGTGGATACGATAAGGGTTGATCGTCTGTCTATAAAAATGTACTGTCATAGTTACTTATATATCGTAATTAACAATATAATGAAAATATTTGCATTACCTGTTGACTGTTGATTCACTTACACATAGCAACCTAGAAACTGACTGCGGCCAAAGTGTAAATTTACCCTATTTTTGATGTCTATCCTTAATAAAAAAAAAATTTGACTGTAGATTTTTGAAAAAATTGTACACGTTATAGTTCCATTTTAGATCTACCTTTGGTCTAATTTTCAGATCTAAATCTCTAAAACTTTGCTTGAAAAAGTGAAATAAAGAAAAAAATTCTATCCCTTTTAAGGGAAAGGGTTTATGATATTTTTTTGGTTTGTTAATGTTTATCGATAGTACTATGTTTAAAAAACAATTCGTATAAATTTTAACTTTTCGAAAAAAGTTATAGAGCATCGTAATTTTCAGTTGAAAAATTTGTACATTTTTTGGATGTTTTTCTCAATTTTGATAAGGAAGGTGTGACTTTTTTAAATTGTTGGCTTTAATGTACTTTCTAGGTATGATTTCTGATCTATAGAGTTACTACTCAAAGAAATCGGTTCAGCGGTTTACGAGATATCGTGGGTCCAGACACAAAAAAAAAAATGAATAAAAATACATCATTGTAAAAACAATCAGAAAAAATTTATTAGATAAACATTAAATTTCAAAAATGTATTTATTGAATGTGTTTTCCTTGAATTTTATTTTTCAGTAATCTCATTTTTTTTCTTAATTTTCCAATTATTTTCTTAAACTTGGTTTTACTTTAAACACTGAATCATTTTTCATTTTAATAAGCCATTTATTTTTCTAGTAAAATAATTAACTTAATAAATAAAATTAGTTTGACGGGTAAATATTTATATAAAAAATATTGAAAAGTTGTCATCTACGCCCAGTAGGTACGTGTAAAACTATTTTTACAAAAATCATAAGTGAATCTTTAAAACTTTTGGCTGATTATTAATAGTTAGTGAATCGCCCTGTAATGGTATTATTGTAATACATAATAGAATCGATCAATTATTGATCTTTAACACCGATTCTCCGTAAAATCCATGACTCCTGTGCGTTTTGTCGATTACGGAAGTAACCGTACTTACGGTCGGGTGTGTACAAAACGCGTTTAATTCACGTGCGTGTTCGGCAGTACTTAATTATCTCTGCGAGTTGCACAGAAAACGTGTTATAATAATATGGTCCCGGTAATTAGCTGTGATTGCGTTATAAAGAGGTCTGCCGATTAAACGTATAATGACTAATATAATGTCTTCATTACTGTTTATCTCCTTAGTTTAAATAAAGCCTTTCATTTTTAAAAGCCAAGTTAATATGTTTAAGAAATAAACGCGGTATGTACTGCGAATTTGACGTTTAATCAAGGTCTAATAAAACGCCACAAATCTACAGTTAAATAACTGCATTAACGGTTGACGTTGACCTGTCATTTGAATAATGCGAATAGAAATTAAAAAAACTAAAAAACACGCTTAAATAGTAAAATAAACTAAAAAGTAGAAAACAATTTTCAATATAGAAATCAATTAATAAAAAATAAATAGTATTATTGTGAAAAAAGCGTGGGGTGCTACATATATCAGTTCTTGAAAAGCGCCCCACACTTTTTTCACAATAATACTATTTATTTTTTAGCGTGTTTTTTAGTTTTTTTAAACTATATTTATTTTCCACTTTTTAGTTCGATGTGCTTTAAAAACGTGTTTTTTTAATTCTAGTACATACGTGTCTCTATTACTTGAAAACTTCAGGTAAACCACAATGAATACACGTATGTACGTTCGGTTGCCTATCTCTTTTAGTTACATAGTTACATATAAACAAACATACATACAAGTGAAGCTAATATAAGCGTGTTAATGAAAAAAACAAAATACCTTGTGATGTGTATCAAAGAGCAGGCTAAAAGTGGTGTTGATTTTAATGGTTAACTCAGGGTATGGGTGCATCGTAGGATAGAATTATCAGTTGGTTTATCGAACAGGTAAAACATAATTTAACTATAACTTTTTTGATTTTTCCAAATTATTAAGAGGGCGTCGCAACGCCCATTTTTAAGGAGTAAAGTATAAGCAATTTTTTTACAAAATCTTAATTTAAAGATTAAACTGTGACGTGTAGTTATTAGTTTAATAACTAGGATTCTATTTTGGTAGTTAATTTATTTTTTGGATTATCAAAGCAATCCTTGAAAGCGATTTAAAAATGTTTTTTCATCTCTATATGTTTAAGCAGACTGAAAATAACTCGCTTAATTTTGGTTTTAGAGTAAAAGCACCCATTATGAAATTAAAAGAGATCAATATTCCGGAGGGCAAGACGGTGCGTTTTTTTCATTATTCCAAGTATAACGCTCAATACATAGTTTAGAAATAACGACTATTTTAACATTTTTAAATGACAGTAACTTTTCAAAAAATCATTTTTTTTTTTTAAAAACGCACCGTCTTGCCTTCCGGAATATTGTTCTCTTTTAATTTTATAATGGGTGCTTTTACTCTAAAACCAAAATTAAGCGAGTTATTTTCAGTCTGCTTAAACATGTTTTTATCACTGAAAATCACCGGTGCGACGCCCTCTTAAACTATTTGCGATTTGTGTTTCAATGAGGATTTGGAGAATGAAAATGATCGATTTTTACATAATAAAAACTATCTACGTTATTTTTCATATATATTATTTTTATAATCAATGACAATTTAAATTTGCCAACAATAAAGAGTAGGTACAGCATTATAATATGCCATATGGGTGTATTATTATTTATCAAAATTAAATGGTCAGCTGCCAACATTTTTGAAGATACGAAACCCAGTATTTTTTGGCTTCTAGCGTGGAACTGATGTTAAATAAAAATTTTATACTTAAAATTCTATAGGGCTATTTTTATTATTCACACTCGCATACGTTATTCAAATACCGCACCAGTGACCAGCGCTCCATTGTGCAAATGCTATTATCATACTCGGGTGACGGTTCTCGGTCGTCACTTGTCAGTTCGGTTAAATAATAGTGATAAGAATTTCGCTTCTTTTTATCAGCTATACCTTCAGGCTACACGAGGATAATTATTTCACTTTTACCCTGTATACCTACATGTTTGGATTTTGAATATTATGATACATGCAAGTAAAAATGTATGCAAGTGTATGTTTGCAATAACTTTTGAACTTGCCGTTACGTTTCAATAGAAAGATAATATATAAATATTTTAACGCATTGAGCGACAAACTGGAGCAGAATAATATGGCTGATCCAATTATTGGCCGAAAATCTACCCGAAGAAAACAGTGGACTTTACTAAGTAATTTTAAATACATTTATACAGTAAATTCATCAACACTTACGTGTTTATATTGTTTTAGTACTGAATATTTTTATGAATTACAGATCGAACACAAAATCGGTACAACCGCTTTGGGAGCTATTTAGCAGAAGACGGCTGGCCAGATTCCCAGGTTGACTTAGCAAAACAGTTGCTCAATGAGAATTGTGGTGAGGGGTACTGAAAGATAATTTTTTTTCAATTGGGGGGCTAGACATTTTTTAAATTTGTGTTGTTTAACATAGATGGCGGTCTACGCTAGTGATCAAATGTCAATATGTACCATTTATTTTAACAATTAGAAAATTTTTATCCACTCTTAGCAGGCAATTGGTCAATGTGCATTTAATAATCATTTAGGAATATCTAGAATATGAAAAATTGAAATTTATTTGAGTAGTCTAAAAAATGTTTTCATATAAGTTATCCTAGTACCCGAGTGCAACAGGAATTTACAAAATTCACCAGAAACTTTTGCAAGTCAATTTAGACACATCAAAATAGATTATCACACAATTTTGGTTATTTTATTTGGTTTCTTTTAATGTATTAAGTATACTAACATCCTTTTTTTTTTCTTGCTGTGCCTTCTATTATGGTAGCGTTGCACATCCCAGTTTGCTCTCCATTCAAGACAATGTTTTATAACTAACACACGCTTGCCAGTTATTGAGTTATCCTCTGAGTCTAATAGTCTCTCTCTAGTCTATCTTTGAGTCTGAGTTAATAATTACAATTTAAAAAAGGGGATTTTTCAGACACTTAAACATTTATCCTCCATCAGCATTCCTATTTTTATTACTCATTTATCTTGTATTCCAATTACATAACCAATGAAGTATACTGATTAAAAAATACATTTTATGGAGTAAGGGAAATGAAGAGTGCAAAACTCTAACCTAGTCTACTTTTTAATGGTGTCCTTACAAATTTATAAAAGTATGTTCTTAAAATAATTTTTGTGAAATTAAAAAAACAGTCTATTTTGTTCCTCTAAGTATAAAATATAAAAACTTCAATTTATAATGAATAAATATTAATTGTAGAAGATGAAAAAGATCAAGAAGAAAATGCCAGTTTAGGTGTTTATTGGTTAATCAAAGCTTCATCACAAGGTCATACAGAAGCTACTGAGTTGCTAAAAGAATGCTTGGAGACTGGAAAAGGTAAGTAAGTTAATAAATTAATAAAAAATGGTTAATTAATTAAGTTTACATTATACTATTTCATTTTATAACCATTGTTTAAAGTACTGTAATACTTCAATGAAAAACTAGCGTAGTACATCTTAAACTTGCTCATCCATTATGTTTCCATAATGTTTTTTTTCCCACTAATTATGTATAATATTAAAACCATAATAACAGTAGTAATAATATGTTTATTAGATCATGTTAAAAACTACAAAGAAAAAATAGTGATATTTATTAAGGAGTTAGATAATATCATGTCCTCTTAAGAGAAGGAGAGAATTGTTGAATAATGTAAAAACCTATTTTTTCTTGGTAGTTTTTAACATGATCTCATATATTTACATACTATTATTACTGTTACTATAGTTTTAATATTATAATTAGTGGGAAAAAGATGAAGGCAATTTTTTGCAAAATCTTAATTTAAAGCTTAAACTGTTATGTGTAATTATTAGTTTAGTTCTTGTCTTCTATTGTTTTTGTTATAGGTATTTTTGCTTTTAAGGGGCCTCTACACTAGTATTAAGGTGCATTTTATAGGCAATTTTTGCTAAAACGTAATATTAGGCTAAAATTTTTAAACATACATATATTTTAGATTATATATTTTGGTAATTGATTTTTTTTTTCATTTTTTTAAATGCATATATAATCTATTTTAGTACAAAAACATATGTTTCTACTTTAAACATACAGATACTGTTTCTAAGAATACTCCAATTTAAGTTTTGAAAAAACATTTAACATTTTCAAAGCTTCGACTGTGGCATAATTTAAAAATTACTTTTTTTAAATTTATCATTTCAGTTAAAAAAAGTTAAAAATTGCCGTTTTTTTACATTGAAATAATTAACTGAAAATAATTTTAAAATTATGCCTCAGTCGATGCCTTGAAAATGTTATGATGAATTCACAAGGTTTTTTTAGAAACTTAAATCAAAGTATTCTTAGGAACAGACCATTTAAAGTAAAATGAGTGTTTTTGACCAAAAATATGCATGTGTAAAGGCTAAGGGGCTTATATCTAAAGTAATCATCATGAAGCGTGTAAAACGCATTCTGCGTAGTTATGTTTTAACTTTGGAAAATTGTCTGTACTACGTCCTCTTAAGCTATGTTTGAAGGGAAAAAAACTATGAATAAAAAATGATTAGTTTAATTCTTTGTTAATAAAATCAATAGTTAAAAACCTCGAAGCTAACAAATTATTTTTAGTACCAATGTTAGTACTCTGTACTAATAAAATGTTAAAATTTCTTTGACACTTTTTTTTTACTATTATGTTGAAGGTATTAATGAACATAATTGGTTGGATGTTAAAGTTTGTTTGGAAACATCTCAAGAGGATAAGATTATACAAAAAACTGCCCATGAAATATTTGACAGGTATAACTAAATATTTTGTATCGTAATATCATACTAAATAGAGTATTTCAATAGCCTTTCAATGTTTAAATTATTAGTAATTTTTCCTTATCTCCTCAGTATGTCGGCAGGAGAAGACTTTATCACTAGTGATCAATTAAAAGATGAAATAAATCATGCGTGCTGTAATAAGGCTTCCGGATCAGATCTTATAAAATTAAATGACTCCAATTCTATAAAATCAACTCGTCATGGTAATAATTGTGTGTTTTATTAATAGTTTCAGTTCTATACATTTTAAAGTGGATCCCATGGCGCTTTGCGTGGTTCCTTTGGCGCCGCAACTTACTCGATCCCATAACGTGTTCTTTATACCAAGCCTATACTGCACTACGAGCCGCATAACGTGCTGTGGGATCCCGCCTTTAAACATAGTTGTTTAATTTATGTGTTATTAGCGATAAAAGTGAATGTGTAAAAAATTTAAATAGTCTTAAGTGTAGAACTGCATAAAGAACCAAGAGACTTAATAAGAAATTACCTAATTATTACTTAATAATAAAATATTAGGTATATTTATTATGAGAGTAAACTTTGTATCATTCATTGATTTTAACTATATGATTAATATTTGTGTACGTCTGTGTAAAAAAGCTAGTTATTGAAGAATTGTGTAATACAATTCCAAAAAAGTTTTATTTCTTGATTATATTTTTACACAATATTATTGTGCATAAAGGGGCTGCTTAAAGCGTAAACAAATTATATTGTGCCTGATATTCAAACTAGTCGTGCCTAGAACTGTAAACATGAAGTACACATGTTTTCGAACAATTTAGGATAGTAATAAAACAAGTCATTTTTATTCCAGTTCTTGAGTAAAAATCATTAAGTGTAATGAAATTATCAAAAGGAACAAAAAAAGTTAGAGATGAAAAATTTGAGGTATTGATATTTCAAAATTCCAAAATTTAAATTTTGACATAATAATATTCTACTTTGTGTATTTAATTTACCACAATAAAATGTTTAATAGTAATAATAAAACAATTTAATGAATAATTTCTAATTTTAGGGTATGCACTTATTCTTATTACATAAAATGCCTTAATAGTTGTTCTTCATGTATTTGTTCTTTAATAGAATTTTACTAGTTTAAAATAATTTTAACATACTTTTCCAAATCCGCTTAAAGCTTGTCTTTATAATATACAAAATGTACCTATATTTAAAAAAATTAAAGATATTGATATTTGTTAGACAAATAAATATATTTTATTATATTAACCCTTATGTAAAAAAATGAGGCATGCAGTGCCGCTTAGCAATTTATTGGTTAAGTAAATTAACTAAATAATATATAATTTATATTAATAATTTGTTAATTATTTTTAAAACATTTGAAATGTATTCTTACTTGTGACTGAAGATATTTCTCTTTAATACAGATTGGAAATCGAGAATAAAAGAATCCGGTGAGAAACTAACTGAAGATGTACTTATTAATGCTGCTAAAGATTTTTCGCGTGGACAAATGCCACTTGTGCAAAAGTTACTTACCATTGAAGAAAACAAAAATACCATAACCACTACTTGTGATCTTTTTCTTCAACCTGTCTATATCATACGCTCTTACAATCTCTGTTTGCAAGAAAGACTGAACAAACGTTTTACCAAACTGCCATTTAATCCGCTGTCATATTTTCATGCTCCAACCTTGTTGCTAACATTATTTTGTTTTGTATTGGGTTGGGATGGAATTTTTGCAGCAATACCGTATTTTTTGTATTATGGATCGTTATTTGCGATGGTTGCAGCCACAGTGTGTGCATTATGCGCAAAAAGGGATTACGGACGTTTCCGTCAATGGTCAAATTTGTTTATTACCTATAGTGGCGGTTGCTTAAGTGCTCAAGAAGCCGAGTATCAACATTTAATGAATACGCTTAAGCCTTATGTATTTTTTTTTGCGTCATTGGGTATTCATTTGTTTATGAAAACTGCAATAGACACGAATATTATGTTTCAATCTGAATTAACAGTTATATCATCCTGCTTGACTTTTTATACATTGTACTCTTTTTCGGCAAGTATTATCTGTTATATGTTAATAAATTAAAGAAAACAGTGATTAATTACTATTCATGTAATATTTTTGTATAGTTATGCGGTCCAAAGTTAGGGGAAACAAAAAATTTTGACTTTATTGCCGTTTTGTCATTTTGTGTTAATGTTTTGGCCAAATATCCTTACGAAACTGACGCAGTAGTGAGCAAAGGCTGGAGATTTCTTAATTTACATGTGCCTACGTTTGCATCATATGTTATTGGTTAGTATTGAATTAAATGGGAGTACATAAAAACATTTATTTATCTGTTCATTTTTTTAGGAAATGGCGTTGAATTTTGTTTAAATTTTCGAGCATTATTTTATTTAATAATGCCAGCGATTATGATAAAAATGGCAGCTCGTAACAACTGGCGTGGAATATATACAGACTTAATACCTCATTGCATGACATTGTCTTGGTGGCAAATAGCTCTAGTTGCATCACAAGGTCTGTGATAATATGACATATATATTTTGTGCAATTAATTTTAAATACATGTACATATTTTAGAATCAACTTGGTACGGATTGGTTCGTACCACATTGGCTTTGGTCTGCATGTTTGTATTGTTCCCTATAACTGGATTGTGCCTACCTTTTGTCACTATTGGAAACAATTTTGAAACTATATATCAGATTATTCAATTGCCTATTATTTTACTCGTTATGTGGATTTTGCATATTGTTATACAATATGCAAAGCGAAAAGGATTACGCACCGAAAAATTCTACACTTATTTACAGGTTCTTAAAAATAATTATATAAATCTGTATAGTCCTTATTTTTATTTTAAATATTTTTATTTAAAGTTTGTTACATTAATAGTTATTTTAAAATATGTGTAATTTGTTCATTTTTACAGCTCAATTTTTTAGTCATATATTAATAATTTAATTAAAATAAGTTCAATAAATTGACCTAAAAAAACATTGCAGTAAAAATGTATTTACATTAAGGATTAATTAAACTCACAAAGGAAACCTCTTAATCGGTGATATGATAGAATGATCATACACAATTTTATAGTTGAACTATTTAATGTAACTTAATAAACAAAATGAATAACAAGTCACTATATTATATTAATCAATGAATCAAAATCAATAATATAATAATGAAAAATAGGTATAAGTAATTTTAGAATGAAAACATATGAATTTAATTTATTAGGTAACCAAAATTTAATATTAAAAAAAAAAAAAAATGATAAAAAGAACACCTTGCCACAAGGCGTAGGAATACCCTTAATTAAACAAAGTGTGTGGCCAACTTTATCAAAAGAATTTTTTTGTGTTTACTATCAGTATTTTAATAGTTATTTTCCTTATATTATAGGTGTATGTGCTTAAGGTAAAAAGCACTTTTTTAATATAAATCTATGAATGGAAATAAATAAATTTTTTTTAATGTGTTCATATTTATTTTGTATATAAGATTAATAAAGTAAAGAAGTAGGTTTTAAAAATATTTATTTTCAGACTACATTTTATTTTGTTTATGTAAATATAAATATTAATGTTTAAATTATTAATTTATTATTATATTTTGTAGGTATTTGTAGTTTTAGGAGGTATTATAGTATGTGCATTTAACAACTATGAACGGATACAGCAATGGCTTGAACCGCCAACTAAACATCATTTAACATTTCATGACTACACTGAATATTGTCTTAAAGATAACAACGTAAAATCTGAAGGTACAGCAGTATTAAATGACATCAAGTGCTCACAACTGATTGACGCTAGCGTACAATGGGATGGCTTCATCAAAAGCAGTAAAGTTGTTTCAATATACAATCCGCTATTAGCTGTTTTGAGTTTTTTCCCAACGGTAATTTAATATATTTAATCTTTTCTACATACTATTTATCATTTTAATATGTTATTCAATTTTTTTAAATTTAGATTATAGCGAAGCCTTTAACCTGTTTGTTGGGTGAACGTTTTCCAACATGTACTGACAATTTGGGCTGCAATGAAAGCTCTAAATTATCAGATTCGTGCCATTTATCTAAGTGGAATAGGTATACTTATGAAATTGAAGTAGAAATGAGCAACAATGGTGTGTGGGGTACCAGTGGTGACACAGTAATACTGATAACCAATAGTCAAGATCATATAATGGATAATGCCACCAAGAGCTTGAAAGAGCTCGATCACGTATGGTTTTCTGGTCGCCTTATTGGTAACAAAGATGGTGTACTTGTAGCTAATCGCCCTTGCGTTGATGTTTCTGCAATTGGATGTTTAGCTTGTTCAAATGTGCCAGCAATAAGCAATAGTGAACAAAAATCATTTGATGACGAATTTGTCAAATGTGTTAAAAGACTGTTACAATTCATTTTATATCCTATTGTATTGTTTAAATAAGTGTTGAGATGAAAAAAAATCTTTATTTTATTTACTAGTTACTAAATTTATAAAATAAAAAACTATTAAATGTCTAATAATATTTTTAAGAGTAATTTACTAATTTAGTGTAAGTTTGATTTTTTGTAATTTGCAATACTGCAGCATTGTAAGTTGTAGATAGTAGTTTTTGAGTTTTCTGTGATTATCACAATTAATTCAATCATTTCTGTACAAATAATAAATTAATGTTATTAATTGTTACTAAAACTAGTTTATAAGTATAAAAATTAAAAAAAAAACTATATTTATTTATTTTGATAGACAAAGTTGTTTTTTGTTATAGAAAATGTGTTAACTCAAATTAAACTTATTAATATTTTTTTTTATCTTTTCAACTCGATAAAAAAACTAAGCTGTAACTTTAAAAATAAATTTACCGTATTATACTTATTTTTTGGTATTTTCATATTGGAACCAATATGTTTCCATAATTACTGGTATCTCCTCTTACGTTTAACGTCCGTTATTCCCACCAATCGGGGCTTAGACGGTTTAGATTTGACATTTTTAGGCTTATAGCTGGCTGCCGACCTAACGCTACCAAACAAGTTGACCCCAGAGAGAAGTGTAGGTTGTCATTTCTCCCTCCCCTCCCCCCCAACAATTGATCCCCGGAAGAATAAACCGCTAGTGGCCGAAATTAGAAACCGACGACCGTGTGTCGATATACTACCGCCTTATCTCACTACGCCACCCGCCTGCACCCATAATTACTTTTGTATTATACATATATTCATTGATATAATTATTATTTAGATATATTTAGTATTTCAATTGATTATAAATAATCAATATGTTCAGATTATAAAGTTTCTTTGCATGATTTTTACAATTTTTTGAAAAATTTTTCTGGACTAAAAAAAAAAATGCGCAGACATTTTTAATGTTTAAAATTGTAGGTATCGCAGGATAAATATTATTTACTGACTTGGTTGACACGCCCTATTATTTATAGTTTGTCTTGTCATCCGTTTCAAGAAAGTGAGAAAAGTATTAAGTTGTGTTTGACATCATAATTTGATAAATTTAAATAATGTAAAAAAATATTTAACTTAATATTTCTTTTAATCAAGACCTAGTAAAAAGTGTAATCAATTATTTCCTAATACTTTAAGTAAAATAATAATCACTACAGGGGTGTACTTACCGTGAGTGCAGGGGAGCACTGCCCCTGGGCGCTTTAGTTTCTAGTTATCCACTAAATCATTAAGAAATAGCAACACAATTATTTTTTTTAGAATAGGTTATGATTTTATTCATATAATAAATTATCAAATTAAAAAATTATATATCTTAAATAATTACTAACTAATATTGCATTTAAGTTTAGACATTCATAATTCATCTGGTTACATACATTTAGCTCACAAAATATTTAAGTATCACAGATTCAAATATCCTAATATAGGTAAATACACAACTATGTGTAAAGTACATAGTTATATACAACATTCTAAGAGTTAAAATTATATTAAACCAAACATAAATATGATATCAATTATTTAATCATTTGGAATGGAAAAAATGCTCATAAATAATATATAATGATAAAATGTCATGATACAAATAATTAATGAAGAATATTTGATTATTATTAGGACTAGACCATATATAATTTATAACAACATTGAGAGGCCTAGGAATAAATTATTTGGATTGCCTTTCTGTATAAGTAAAAACATCACAGCTATATTGTAATGTACTGATTAATATAGTTCTTTCCATAACTACAGTTAATTTTTGTATTGTGATTTTTTTCTCAAATAAAACATGTAGACATCACAACATAAATAATTATTTTTTAAAAAAACAGTAAAAGCATCTTTTAACAGATGTAATAAACAATTAATTTTGCAAGGTAACAGTAATTGATTAATACTGATGCAATATTCCGCAATCAAAACTGAATCTAATTTGGAAAGTGAACAGAGCAAAATTTAGTATTTTTCTTTGGTAGTAGTTGAATTGGCTTGGTTTGCAGGCGAAAGATCATTACTAGCACCAAGCATTTCTTGAATTTCGTCCATTGTCCTTCCTTTAGTTTCTGGGACAAATGTGATTACAAAGAATACACCAAAAATACTGAATAATGTGAACAGCCAGAATGTGTTGTAAATATGAATTGTGGCGACCAATGATGAAAAGAACTTAGTAACGAGGAAGGCAAAGAACCAGTTAAATAAACAGGCAACTGAACATGCGGTACCTGAAATAGAAATGGTAATTATACAATAAATTTGAATTGTACATACAGTACAATAATTGAGCCACGTATACACTTGCGAGCCGAACCGCTTGCAAGAATCCATTTCCGAACAGGTTTTTTGACACGAACCTAACGTGAATCAAACCAAAATTGGATGGGTTCTCGAACAGTTTGGCTCATAAGTGTATTATACGGCTTTAAATAATAAATAGTTTATAACATAGTATTATACCTTTAATTTGTGCCGGAAATATTTCTCCAATTAACATCCATGGGATAGGGCCAAAACCAAGGGAAAATAGGACAATGAATACACACAAAGAAACTAATGGAATAAACCCAATCGAAGATACATCGTAGTTGAAGTCTTTTAGATAAAAGAAGACGCCGATTAGTGCGGTACAAATACCCATCATTATAGCTGAACATAGAAGCAATATTTTCCTTCCCAGTCTATCAACAATAAGAGTAGAAACATAAGTAGCTAATACAGACATAATGCCAACTATAATTGTAGATGTGTTCGGAGGCATTGCACTTCCAGCTTCCTGTAACAAAATCATTGTGGTTAAATAAAGTTTACAGAAAATTGTATTATAATTTATAATATATTGTATTATTACATTGAAAATAAATGTAGCGTAGAAAATAACAGCATTGCAACCAGTAAACTGTTGTAAAAGCATCACTCCAAGACCAATGAACAAACCACGTTTAGCTGGTGTTGTTTGGAATGCTTCCATAATTGGAACTCTTTCTCTTTCAGTCTATTAACCCAAAAATTCATGAATAGTATATATACTAAATGTAAATGAATAAACAAACAAACATTAGTACCTTAGCTAGTGAATCCTGCATGTTAGAGAGTTCTTGGTCAACTAAGCCATATGGGCCACGGAAGTATCTCAAAGATAGACGAGCTTTATCTACGTTTCCTTTCATCAAATGGAAGATTGGTGTTTCTGGCATCAAAATCATCAAACAAACATATATAACTGGAATTACAGCACAGGCAATGGACAGTCCAAACACATTTAACTGTAATGGAGTTCAATAAATTAATATTTTACACGAAAATAATATACCTGAATTTAATAAACTTACGTAACTTCCAACAATATAAGTGAATAAAATGCCCGAAACAATTTGCAATTGGAAATAAGTTCCTAAAGTTCCTCTAATTTCTTTTTCAGCAAGTTCAGAGGTGTATAGAGGTACTATTATAGAATATGCACCACCGGCAAAACCTGATAATAGTCGTCCCATACAAATCCACATTACCTATTTAAAATATTAAACAGATTGTTTAATCGTCTAAAAAAATTATTTTAATACTCGGTAATAAATAAAAAAAATTTACAGATTCAGCCCAAATAATCATTCCCCATCCAATAAGGCATGGTGCAACCAACATCAACATCATGTTTTTACGCCCTAATTTATCTACTAGCCAAGCCGTAACTGGACAGCCAAGCATTGCACCGAGGGGCATAAACGCTCCAATCCACGCAATATCTTCATTTGTAACACTGAATGGATATTGACCTTTTTGTAACATAGGACCAGCTGGAGCTGTCCATCCAAGGGTCGTACCTGCGATGAACCCACCAATGGTAGCTGTAAAACATTAAATATAATTAGTCACGTTTAACAATAAGTCATTTTCCATAACTAAATAAAAACATTTCAGAAAATACCTATTAATGCAGCTAAGTACTGAGTCCATTTTTGATTTCCAATATGAGATCGTTCGTTATCAACCAACGTTTGTTGGCTCATAGCAATCTTTTCTGAAGCCATTTTAACAAGAAGACTTGTTTCACTGAACTCTTCCTATGATAAAGAAAACAATTGTTGTAATATTAGTTTTATGCATCTAGACTATGAATAAATCTATACAAATTCTTAAACTAGTGAAGTACTCAATTTACTTGTTATGAAGTTTTTCTCATAATATTTTATACAGGTTAGCTGATCTGTGCTTTTTAAGCATTTAATTTTTCATCTTAAGGACTATACTCTTTATTTTTTTATTACTACTACCTGTAGATTAATATAGTAATAAAAAGGAAATGCATGGGAGTAGTATATTTACAAAATGTTGGCAGACGAATAAACGTGTGCAAATAGGTGTAATTTTAAAATGATTTTGATCAGTCTTCTCGAAAATAAATTATTGCATACTTTAATATATACAGGTTAAATTATCACTTAGATTTTCAATAAATGAAAATAAAACTCATCAATAATGTACCTTAGAACTGTCTTCATCAGTCGAAGATCCGTAGTTATCATATTGATAACTACTAGTACTAGGTTCAAATGAAGTCATACTCTTACAAAAATTGGATTTATTATAAAATTTTAACAGGTATTGTATAGATACAGGTTGAAATTGTATATAATATTAAATATAATACAATATACTGCATGCACCATTACAATCATGTAAATGTGATTTCAAACAACAAGACCGGATAATGCACATTGTCCTAATTTAAATTAAAACTAATAAAAAATTGCAATTGTAAAATCTATTTTGTAAAATAAACGATTTAATAATGTAAAACAATTGTAAAATTCTTATCTCGGCCTTTTTTATCTTTATTGCAATCAACTTACAGTTCTCAGGAGCAGCAAAATATGCTGGTCCAGAGTGATAAAATTATTTTTGTAAATATGACTATCAGTTTTCTTAACCGTGTTATCAGCAACAAAACCACGAAATAGATAAAAACATTTTCGCGGCAATTATTCGTTTATTAAGTTTTTTTTAAATGTATTTAGCAATATTGAAATTTAGGAGCTATTATTTATTCGTAATTCACAACGTACAAATTACAATGATGTTTTATTAATAAGTTATATGCAACTATAAAAAGCCACGTAAAAAATCGGTTTCAGGTAGCCGCCGAGGTCGCTTCTTTTTTTGAACAGAGTATGTATTTTGTATAACTCACTTATTAGTTATTACTAACTCACGCATTAGATGGCGTGTTGTATAAAAAATATTGCATAGGACCTACTAACCATGTTAACGCACATTGATAATAAGTTATAAATCAATATACTAAATTTAATATAACATTATTCCTAGTTAGACATTTAAAATTTTTGTTAGAATTGTTACATAAAATAACCAGTACATAACACATAATTTAATTTAGCATGGAACATGCTGTTTAGCCTTGGCCTCCCGGCTCGAAAACGACACAAAATAGTCTATCTTCACACACCTAGTGGACCACGGCCTGGTCCCTCTTTTCTTATACACCGTGTAATAATAACGAGTCGTCGTCGTCATGCAAATGTTTTAGCCAGAACATATAATATTATACTATCGTCATAAATCGCAAGGAGATTATAGATCAGAAATAATTACTGTTCAGGAACCAGCAGGTTAAAGCATGTTCCATGTTTAGCCGTTTGGCTTTAAGTAAGCTGTAACGTTTTTACCTATATTTACGCTTATTTATAATTTATTACTACTATATGTATTTTACATTACCATTGGCCATTTTTAAGTTGCCCAATAGGTACTTATAGGTTAATCAATTGAATATAATCGATTTTAAGACTAGATACATAAATTCGAAGTCATTCACATAATATGCTATAATATATATTTTTAACTCGAATAGTTTAGAAAATGTTATTAGCTATTTATTATACTAAAGCAAAAATGAATATTGCTACAATGTTATAAAAAATGTAATTAAGATATTAAGTACCTAGGTATTTACAATCAAGGGGCGATAAATTATTTATATGATATGTATTATAAGCGCCTTTTTTTAAATTATAAAATCATGTATACTAAACATACAAATAAATAGATGCTTATCAAAATAATTATGCCTAATAGGTGCTATTAATAACTTGAGAGTTTTATGGAGAGCCGAGAAGGTATTCTTTCCAATCTATAAACTGATGAATTATTTATCTATGATCTATAAGTAATTTTAGTTTGATTCTTAACTAAACTTAAGTAATAAATTCAAAATAAATATCAGTATAATTTTTGATTAAAAATAAATTTTTCAGTCATTTTCTGAGGGATATGGAACTTTTTTTATCCGTAAGTTTGTGATAATGTTAAATGTTAACTTAGATTCGTTATATTTTAGACCATAGACACGATTAGGGTTGACCGACTGCCTAATAATTTATTGTCGTTGTTACCCATACACCGTAATAAAAAAAATAATGAAAATATGTTCAATACCCGTTGGCTGGTTATTCAGTCAAACATAGCAATCTAGAAATTTACAAAATGCATTTTCCCTTAATGAAATAAAAGTTTTACTACAGATTTTCGAGAAAATTGTATACGTATATGATTACAGATAAATAGAGTGCCGCTACTCAAGTAAAGCGGGCCACAGGAAAAAAAAAAGTTATCGTGACTTCAGACACACAAAAAAAAACATTGTAAAACTAATATACCTTCTTATTGTTAGCTAACGCATCGAAGCTAAAACTCAAATCAAAGTACAATTACAACAAAATTGTCTTAAATTAAAATATTATATTTTTTAATAATTTCTCAGCTAATAAGTACCCAGTAATAAATACAAATAAAAAATATAAACTATCTAATAAAAAACAAAGTACATTTTCAACCAAAAAGACGAACGATTATTTGTATTTTTGGGGTTGTAATCTAACTACTAATTACTAATTATCATTTAATACGAAATCTAAATAAAAATGTATCATTTTTATTGAAAAACAAATGTAAATTTATTTTTTATTGAAGTTTCCTTCGAGGTTGACCAATTATTAATTAGAAAGATGTGTTGTTCTTTCCTTATAAATTATAATGAACTATCCAAATTACCACCAATAGAAATGCGGTTATAGATTTAATCCATTTTAATGTATACTCTATTCTGATAAACGTCAATTCAAATATAAAACAAAACCATCGAGTTCAACAGTCGATTTTGCAATAATCATCTGCGTAAAACGAATAAAGATTACTAAATGAATATTAAGTGCCTATTGAAAAACGTTCAGCAATCTATAAAAGTACCTACTAGAATATAATGTTTTTTAATCTTATTTTATGATATTTCTTTAAATCTAAGTACACGTATATTTTAAATACAGTGGCATTTACATAACAAATACCAACAATGAACCAACTACAGTCTACATAAAACGTTTATTTTAGAAGCATTGGTTATTTCAGGCCATATTCGGCACCTTAGGTTAAACTACGTTCCACAATCCACTTGATACGGATGAGTGACTACGCACTACTTAGTGGTGGTCAATGTCATGTCACCTATAGCACGTGTCTTACCTACACAACCCAAAAATATATTAATAGAGCAAAAGTAAATGTATCATAAGGTCGAGTGCGAAAATGTGAGAAAGGAATAGCGTTTAATACTTAAAGAGCCTTTAAAATACAATTATTTTAGATCATTTTTAAAATTGAAATTTTGAATGCTCACTTTTACTTAAGATATACACCCGGTATGTAATTGTTTACATAGCAGGCTCCTTTAAAAATCTTAAAGCCTAAAATATTTAAAACTGCCCAGAAACAACAATAATTATATCAGTCGAAATTAGTTGGGAATTACTGAGGTTATCGCGTGACGCTATCAGTAATGATATCACTCGACATTCACAAGGTCAAAAAGTTAAAGTGTTATTTAATCGACAATCGCAATTTAATAAAACAGAAATACACGAATACACAATTTTTATAAGAATATATTATTCTTATTAATTAAATCTCAACTGCCTCGTCCTACTTCTCAATACGTGTTAGACACACCAACACCTGAATAACAAATTGCATCAGCCACTTCTAACTTGAGGTAGTATAAAATACTAATTCTATTACTGTCGCATTATGTATTGAAATTGTAATAACGCAAAGGAAAATCATTTATCACCTCGTGTTGCAACAGTTTTGTAATTTCTTCGCAAAATCAATTCTTAAAAGTAAAGACAGTTATAAGAACCTCTTAGGTCAAAGTTTGATTTTCGCTGTTTGCAATTTCAGACGTGAATGATTATTGGGTTGGGTTTGGTGTCAAACTACTAAGTAACGCTATTATTACGTGTTTACTAATAGAATAGTATCAAATGCGTAATATGGATATCAATATTATATATTATTATAAAAAGTTATAGCATTAGAGAGAAATGTATAAACCTACGATTTGTAATAAGATGATAATAAAACAATATACTCATAATGTAATTATTGCTATGTAATGCACCTGCTGAATTTTATTTTCCTCAGTCCACAGTAAGTACACAACGACTGGAAATTGTACTTTTTGGTAATTTTAAACTATATTGTGCAGGCAGAATGTACGTCCTGGTACAGATATTATATTACGTGGCGTACTTAATATTTTTGATATTACTGACTACACAACAATGGAATCAACGAACCGTACAGCCGATTCTAATTATGTTGTTTATGAACGCTGAAACTTTTTAATGATTACATGTTTATAGTAAACCATAGTGAAACATATTATACACCTAGTGCTACTTGTGAGTTGTGTGTTTATAATAACCTATGGAAAAATCATACTGCGCATGTACATTTTATTTATAACCTAAAAAAAAAACATTGTGGTCGTTAAAACAAATTATACAGGACATCCGTTCGAATGTGACATGATAATGTGATTGTCAAAAGTTGTTTTATGATTACAACGCGTGAGTTTATAATTATCGATGCTACTGAAATTTGTTTAAAAGTTTAAGGATCAAATGAATTTGATTTACATATCACTACAACTTGACGTAAAGTTTAAAATTCCTACCCAAATTAGGTATTATTTTGTGTAATGCTACAT